TGGAGAAATGGAGAAGGAGCCGTCGGCGATTTATTTATTGGAGGTGAACGAGAACTCTTATTTTCTGGAGAGGTCTCTATTGAGGGAGCTTGGAGAAATCGTTCTGTCATGAAGATCCGTGGACACGTTTGAATTCAACTCCTGGATTTCTTCGTACCAGCGATTGTGAATGATGAATAAGGGCACAATGCATTCATGATTCCTCCATTTTTCTTATTTGCGGAATAATTATTCGGTTTTGACCTCGTTTTCTTGCAAAATCTATTTTTCCATTTTTTTCCACTGTTTTGCCTGGTAGAATGGTGGAATGAAATGCATCGAAATAATGTTTACTGGCACGTTGCGAAGTGGAAGGTGAACGGACATGAGATAAATTAATGAGGCAGGCAGTTTATCAATTGGAAGTAGCTGGATACAGGGATGCGGCTTCAATGAAGTCGTTAATTATAATCAATATCGGAAGAGGTGAGATGACAGTCATCTCACACATACTGTTGGAAATTTTTGGAAATTTCATGGAAGATATTATTGTATATCTTATGAGAGTGATATTGAATCGGATTTAAAGAAAAAATGGTTATGAAATTTCAAGTTTTAAGTAGAATTCACGGAAATTCATTAGTTTTCAGTGGGAGTGAGATGGAAATTTTACAACTTGATTGAATTTTCAGTGGAACATGAATATTCAGAAACAAAATAACATGAATTTTCAATTTTTCCCTGAATTTTTCGTATTTTTCTGAATTTTCACAGAATAATTGAGCTGAAAAATCAAGTGTTTTATTGATTTCCAGATAATTTAAATGGAAAATCGATGGAATATTTAATTTTTCAATTGAAAGATTTCCTGAAATTTCAGTGGAACTCAAACACGATAAAAATTTCCGCAATTTGGCACGGAAAATTCAGACGAAAATTTTGAATAGAAAAACCTAGCAAATTTGCTAGAAAATTCTATTGGATTTTTATTGAACTGTCTATTAGTTCTCGGCCGATTCTATTGAAATTATCAATAGAAAATATTTCATAGAAAAAGTCAATAGATTTCGATTTTTCTATACAACTTATTCATATTCTTCTATACAGAAATTTTCTATAGACTTTCCTCGGCTCAAATTTTCCAAGTTTTTTTGTTTGATTTTCTTGATGAGAAAAAAACAGAATGTAAAAAACTAGGAAAATTTGAGCGGGGGAAATTCTATGGATTATTTTTCTCACTCGGATTTCAGCCAATCAGAGCGGAGTATTTGAGGCTGTCAAACGGTTTTATTTCGGAAATTTCTAAAAAATTTCCGACGGAAATTCACTAGTAGCTTTTCAAATGTTTCTCATCTTTCAACGCATTTCACGTTTAATATTCTGTGTGACAGATAAGCAAAAAAGGGGGTTGTAAATGTATGGCTGTGTAAATGTATCCGGATGCTGTTCACTGCACTCTGCTTGGCCGAAATTCGAGTGGCAAAATAATCCGTCAAATACCACTCGTGCTTCAAAATTAATCGGATATTTTCCGCAAGCTTCCCTGCTTAGGAACGAGTGTGTCCAATTTTGCAGAAAAATCCCTCGTGCTTCGCATTTGGGATTTTAAACCTGGAAAATTTGACACAATCCTTCCTAGGCAACGAAGCTATCGGAAAATATCCGATAATTTTGAAGCAGTAGTGGTATTACTACTGAAAATATCGAATCGAAAAATCGAAAAAAAGAATTTTATAGACCCGTTCCATAGAATATTTGCCATTAGACATTTCAATAGAATCGTCCAAAAACTAATTTTTAATAGTAATTTTTAATAGGTAGTTCAATAAAAATCTGAGTTTTTGGAAATTCAGCTCTTACACATCTAATTTCGTTATTATTTTAATAAAGAATTGCACCATTCATGTAAAATAGCCCACAATATTTTTTAAAATATTTTAAAGATAATTTCTCTGCCCATTTTGCCTGAATGGCGCAAATTTTTATATTAAACAAAACTCATAGTAGTCTCCCCTTAAATGAAACTAAAACCCACGATATTGAAAATCCCGATGACATTGTGTCTGAAATTTCGAGAAATTTCTACCAGTGTTTGTGAATAGGAAATATAAACTTGAATCTCACTCCGAGCTTCCATCATACTCCCCCACAGCCAAATGACGAGAAAAAAAATATACTGAATCTTCTCAAAATAATTATCCTACCATCCTTGACCTCATTCCGCGAACAACATTTACGTTAGAAAAGAAAAGAAAACTCACGAATTCCAACAATGGCTGAACAGAATGGCAGTAAAACGAGTTTTTCCTCTCGTTTTAAACGAGTTGTCAAAGAAAAAAACATCAGCTCCATGTACCCCGGGAGTTTTTTCCAGTCATTTGGCACAACTGTCCATAACCTGCAATACATCTTGCTTCACATTTTTTATTTCAATAATTTTTTTTGATAGCTTCCCCATCCCCTCCCTCCTCTCAAAAAATTATCTCTCGTTGGCAGGAATTTCGTTGCATGCGAATGCAATTGATTACACTGGGAAATGCAGTCGGAATATTTGCCTCATCAGGATGATCCTGATCGTCCGAAATTCAAAATAATTTCTTCTTTCAACATCGAATGAATAGATTACTTGAATTCCTGATTGAACGATTGCCAAGAATTCAATTGGAAATTACAATCATTATTTCCGTGTGACAAGAGAAATCAATTGAATCACAACGAAGTGAGGAGAAGGGGGAGGGGGCGGGTAGTGAATACCAGTTATAACGAAGGGGTTAATGTCGATAGTGACAGACGTCCCGGCCTTGATTCGAGTTACTGCACCTGAACTCGGCGTCAAGGCTTGGATGTCGTCGTACGGAATTAATAATTGAGGAGAAGAAGAGGTCAGTGTAGAAAACTCAACGCGGGGACGAACGGGGTAGTGGCTGCACCCACGGGGCATCGATCGACAAACTCCCACTCCCCCTCAGCCCCTTCCCGGAATCCCACAACCACGACCTACAATATAAAACGAGTTTTCTCCACGCGCGCGCTTTAGAAGTCGAGGGGGGAGGGAGGACCCGTTCATTTATTGCTCTTGTCTATTTTTCTTTATAATAAATACCTGACATGAAAAGTATCTGCAAAATTGCCGCTCCAGAGCATCGCTAATGGCTGCTTTATCAACATTTTTGAGGATTCATTACCGCAAAAATTGTTGGTAATGATGAGGGGTTGTGCTCGTTTCGTGAAAATTTTAATACGTTTTTCTTCCCAATTATCGTTTGGAGAGAGGGAAAGAGGATGAAAAACGGGCGAATTTTTCATGCAGAAAGAACTGGAGATTAATTCTTCCGGGGATTTTTTTGAGTTCAGGGACTAATAGGAGGCTTACATATTTTATACGTCACTTTTTAATCGTGAATTCCTCTCCTGGAATCTTGTGAGATCAGTTCATCTCATTATTAATAAATTCTCTGCATATTTTCGGGCAAATGTTGAAGATTATTTATCGTTTCCTTCTTGTCATAAATTTGAAATTCGTTGGAAACGAGCGGAATGTTGCCACGAGTCATGGAAAGCTCAAAATTAAGCGAGTGGAATTGATCGCAATTTAATATACATGCGGATCAAATATTACAGATCGATTTTTTATTTTTGCGACTTTGAATCATATTTGCGATGAAATTTTTCGATAGTTCAAAAGATTGAGCCATTGTGTCCAACTATAATGAAGAAATTTCAATTAGAACTTCTACACCCAGAAAAATTGTTTTTTTTTCGTGAAAAAATGTTTTTTAGCTCGTGGGATTATATCACGAGCCGAAGGCTCGTGATATAAACCTCCCACTCGCCAAAAAATACTTTTTTGCACTCGTTACGAACAATATTTTTCATCACAATGTGGCGGAAATTCACAGCGTGATGAAAATTCAATTCCCATAGAATTCTTGTAGAATTGACTAATTTTTCGATAACAAAATACTGTGATCACATAAAAATTAACGTCTTTGAATGTTTCCCTAAATTGTGCTTCAAATTTGAAGAGCAGAGACGTGATAATGGGTAAAGTACAATTTCAAATCAAATTCTTGGATATCTTATTGTTTTTTTTTCTCCTCTGCCACGCAACACTGGAGGAATATCAATAGCAAGTAGTACTGAAGATCCAATATCTGTTGAATTATATATTGTCATTCTAGTTTGCTTTCACGATAATATCTCCGTCAAATGAGATAAAAAGTTTCCAACAATATTTAACAACACTTTCTTAACCAGTTGTTCTCTCTCAGCTGTTGTGTTGAGTTCTCAGTAGTGTGCTAAATACCCAGTTTCGAAATAGAGAAAATAGAACACAACAAAACAAACAAGACAGGTGCATGCAAAAACGACATAACTCTAAAGATTGCTGACAATGCTCTTCTCTTTTTTTTTCTACTTTTGCAACGATGAAAATACGAATGATTGGCGTGGTTAGGCATGCGTCATGTCTTCCAATTGCGTGTGCCCGCGAGGGCGATAGCACACATGCACCCTTGTATTTACCTCCATAAAAAAAATTCAACGTTTCAACCTTTAAAATGCAAAAGTGCAGTGAAATCATTAAAAAAGCAAAGAAATATAATCTCGTCCAAAAGTTGCATTTGATCTGAAGGAGAATAAGGCTGAAGAGGCATGAAATGTTGGATACGTGGGCGTAGGGGTAACATTGCGCTTTAGAAAAACATGAAGTGGCTGAAGAAAAAATAAATGAGTAAAAAATAAAATTGTGTCAAGTACTACGTATGAAGTTGAGAATATAAGTGACTTACTCTGCAACGAGATGCACCAATTTCTGGTGATCTCATTTATTTTAATTACCATGATATAATTCAATGAAACAGTAACAATATAAGATGATCACAAATCCAATAAAACTCTATGTAACAATCTACACTCAACAATTTTGCCAATTTCGTTAAACTTCTAATCATCAAAAAATCAATGAACTCTGTCTCTAATTTCTAGTCTATATTGTTTCATATTGTGATCGTGGTATGTACCTGGCTCAGGCTTCTAAAGCTACTTGTACTGGCGCTGCGAGCCTGCAAACACAAGTACAGTACAGGTCACCAATTACCACATTGCAATTGAAGTTGTGAATAATAATATATGAAGAGTAAGTAAAGATATTAATTTAAGATATTGAGTTGACGCACACACGCTAGAGGTAAGATAGACAGTAGATAGACAAAACATTTAGTAGCACAGAATGAGTGACAGCACATTTATTTGGTGAGTATTTGCTTTGTGAGTATTTTGCTTTCAACTGAATATTCGTGTTATAAATTTCTAATGACCAAAATCTAGAAATTTTTATCTTGTGATTATTTGTATCCATTTGGTTTATTATTTCATTCTTTCCAAAGTTTTTTTATATTTTTTTTGGAGACAGACACAATTAAGGCACTACACATCAAATAAAGAAATATAACTCTGGGAGAATTGAGTATCGATGAAATAACTCGTGTATGTCTCGAATAACAGTACAGCTGACCTTTTCCATTAGTGATTCTTTCGGTCAACAAGCATTGCAAATTAATTATCTTCTGTCTCAATTATCTTCATCAAGCATACTGTATATGATTTATTTTGGGGGAATAAATGAGATCCTCAATATTTTCTGGAGTGACACACAAAGGCGATTGGCCCTGTTATTCTTGTTTCCCTTCCTCAATTTCATTCTGCATGTAAAACGGGCTTAGACATTCCTGTCACTCTGCGATACAAGAATCACAACATCACCTCGTTATTTTTTCAAAAACAAATAACAGAATTCGAACGCTGTCCGCACGAATTTTACACACTTTCGTGATACAGATTTTTCATTAAATCGTATTAATGGTTCCGACAACACCAGAATTATTCATTTCAGTTGAAGTTCTATTATGAAAAGTGATTGGTTAACCCCTAAGGGTTAACCAGAAAAAAAAAAACAAAAACAAAAAAACAAAAATTACCAATTTTTTGTCAGTGGTCCATTTTGCCCTTCGTGACCCTTAGTTTCTGACCCTGGGTTTTTGACGCCATGTCCCTTATTTGTAATAAGTAGCTCTCACGTCAAAGCAGATGAACTATTCAAGACTTGTTGGTAGGTACACTGTTAAAAATTTCTTGAAATTTCAGTCACAATGTCTGAATTTCCAATGTTGTGAGTTTGAATTCAATTGCAATTGAAAACATTCACTAAATTTCTCATTCATCTTGAAAATTCAAGAAAATTTGATTTTCCATATTGAAAAACCATTGATTTTTCAATGAAAGCTTGAATTTTCAAATTCATCGTGGAAATTGAACATCAAACGTAATTGAATTTTCAATAGATTGAAAATTCAGAGAAGTTATTGCCTGAATTTTCAACATTATCAAGGCTTTTCAGTGCCGTGTGGATCTGAAAATCGAGAATTACTTGAATATTCAAGAAATTAATTGATTTGTCAATGAAGAATTCTACAGAAATTTCATGTAACTTTATCGTTGTTAAAAATTTCAAGTGTAATTTTCTAACAATGTAGTTCTAAAGATATTGAGATCCGAAAAATGAAAACCTACCTATCAATAAAATAAACACAGCGGAAGCTGAAAATTACCATAATCGACGGATTCCATTTTGAACATAAATGCAGCTGTAGCATTCCCCGAGGAAACTGGAAAAACTTGATTCAATAATGTAATATAATAAGAATCTTGGAGATAAGTCGAGGTAACGGTAATTGTCAGGCGTGCAGGGATTCCAGCAGGGTCAAAAAAGCTAAAACTGAAGTTATCCTCATGTCAAAGCAGATGAACTGTTCAAAACTCTTGTCGGTTGTTCCAACGATATGGAGATCCGAAAAATGAAAAACGACCTCTCAATAAAATAAACCTAGTTCAAAGGTTCCGTGTGAGCCAACAAAATTCCTTCCTTCAACATCATTCTCTTCTGTGTACATAATTTTTCATGTGCTACACCTCTCGGGAGTCTCAGGATTTTGAATTAATATGGACATTCCAGACGGATTGCACGGAATAATTTGCCTAACCACTGCCTACTCTTCGTACCATGATTAATCGAACAATTATGTTCAATTAGATGCGTTAATCCGACCGCGCATTGCACAGCTCAGCAGATTCTCAACGTGATATTCTAACATGCACACGTGGCAGGTAGACTTTGAAATCAATTTAATGCCCCTCCAAAATCTCATTAAAATGCATAATGAATGTCTATCATGAATGAAGAAGTGTTGAGGTTTATTCAGCTGTTCTGGGAGTTGAGAATAAAGGGTGATTAACACCTTGGTTGATAAAAGGGGGAGGGGCCAGTGTGGGTGGTTTGAAAACTTCATAACGTCATTGTTGAAGTTTTAAGCTCAACTACATGCCACAGTCACGGATAATAGAATCTGCTCGTGGTAGTTTGTGGTGACAACGTCATTTGACCTAGGTGACAATTTCGATGGACAGATTCCAAATAATATTTGAAGTTGCGCGGGGGGAGAGTTTGTCTTAAATTATGAAAACCTTGCTGAAATTAGGAACACTCTTCCCAAATTCTGTTTGAGAACATGATGAATAAAGTGGTACAAATGATGCTGCACTGACAGAAAAAGAAGAAAGAAGAAAAATTTAGTAATGTCGCGAGAGACTTCACGAGACAATACTTTGGAGAGATAGTCTCGGTCTCAATGAACACGGAAATCTTTGCTCTCGAAATCTTGCTTTTGGTCTCGTCTTCAGTCTCGAAATACGCAGTATTGACTCCTCTCGTGATGACTCCGGGCCAATTTATCTCATCTCGGTCTCCAGTTTTTCGTGTTTTTTAATGCAAAATCTTAGATATCAGTAGTGAAGTGGTCAATCGGTTTAAGTCGACTTAGCTCCCAGTTGAGTTTTGGTTGAAGAACTCGGAATTTAAGAAAGATAGCGAAATTTTTGTAAATTTTTTCGATAGGAATTTCGAGAATTATGTTGTTCTGAAAATACTCTAATTTTTTAGATGATTTAATTGGAAAAGTCAAATTTTTTTGAATTTTTCCGATCTGCCATTCAATGGCAATTCAAGAAAAATTGCCCGTCGGGCTGCGGCGTTTCCCTCATATGGTGACCAATTTAGGGTTAAAGAAGGTAACTAAAAGTGGTTCACCGCAAGGTGTTGAAGGATCTATTGCTGATGTGTGGTTTGACGTAACCGCTGATTAATTAGATAGTTCGAAACGGTGATTCGCGGAGCGAGGTTCGCGGAAACTGTTGTTCTATTGTAGTAATATGTAATGGACTGAGTGCTTCATACGCTTGTCAAACTTGGTTGTTTCCTTATGCTATACTTTATTCAAATTGAAACTGTGTTCTAGATCATACTGCACTATTAAAAAATTACAAGTACGAAGCACGAATGATTTTTCCTGAAAAACTTGAATTCCATTCAGAAGCAAAAAGGAGTAAAAAAATTGGAGCTAAAAATATGAAATATTGTGGTATAATTGGAATTCACGAAATTCGATTGATCCCGTATAATAAAATTTAAAAAAACTCAAATAAGTCCACATATATACATACATGCATACTTATGTACACTTTTAGACCATATTTAGTTACCTTAACACAAATAATTGGAATATTAAATTTGAGCGATTACAAAGCTTCAGTTCGGAAGCAAAACCAGACACAGGTGAGAACAATTTCCTGAATTCAAGATCAGTGTTCTGAATTTGAGAAAATAAATTTACTGCGTGATTAATTTTAAATATGCGGCTATGAACATCACAGTAAAAGTATAAAACGTCAGGAAAAATGGATAATGAGGATGAAATTAAAAAAAAAACTCGGTCCAACGAGTCTTTGAATTTCTAGGAATATTGATTTTCTATAATGGCCGTTAGCTCCTCTCTCGTGACGATGGGATTTGGAATGGCGGGATTTCATTGGATAGGTGCTCAGATCTTGTGACACCATTTCGCCAGCTATTGAATGCATAAACTGGCTGTGAGCCACATAGAAGTGTCATTAACTGAAGGAAAAAATCATTGATTAACCCAGGGAGGAACAATTGCGTTGTAATTGAATGAAAAGGTGAGATTAGTTCGCGGTGAAATTGAGGAATGAGCTGTGCTGAATTAATGGTGAGGGGAGGGGATTTTATGTGCATGACGGTTTGTCTCAACGATCGTTAAGGCGGGAGTTCCAGTAATCGTTGTAGTCAGGGAGTGAAGTCTTAATTAATGTAAGCTGGGTGTCATGGCTAAATCAGCAGGAATTACACTGATGTTGTAATTAAATCTGGAATTGTTCTGCACCTCAGGGAATTTTTCATTGGACTGAAATAAGAGCATCTTCCTCTGAGAAAACTACAGGGAGAGAATTAAATAGTAAATATTACCATGGCCATAGGAGAGATTACTATGGTAACATGGTAAAAGGGTCTTAACTGTTCCTACTTTATAATCCTTACTATGTCCCACGTAATTCCTAAAACGGTAATGCCACATGGTAATCCTTATACTATGTCCCATGGTAATGCTTACTATGTTCCATAGTAATACTTACTAATATTCAGAGATGATTAAGGTTGAAACTCTTTAAAAAAATTCAAAAAATTAAACTGTTTATTTGAAATAGAAAACCATAAAATTTCGGTAAATATATTCTTGAATTTTCAGGACAGTGACACTGAATGCGATTTAGGGGGAAAAAAATCATTAAATTTCAGATTTCACTGGAAATTCAATGTCATTTGGCGCTGAATATTCATGTTAGATTGAAAATTCAAATGAATTAAGGAATACTCGTCTTTATGCTCCTTAAAATTCTGGAATGCTACTCACGTTTCAGTGAAACCTGAAATTTCATGATGAGCCCCCCCGCCCCCCCCCCTAAATTGCATTCAATATCACTGTCTTGAAAATTAGTAGTCAACTATTCATGAAAATTCTTTTTTTTCCTAACAGTATACGGCAAAATCGATTGGGGTAATTATTTTTCCTACTTTTTAAAATATCCCATCATATATCGGAAGGCGCTCAGTAGCTCCTCCGAAGACTGTCAAATATCACCGATATCACTCCTTAAGTAGTACAACAGTTGCTATATGAAACCTGTGTTGCCAGATATTTTTGCGACACCCCGAGTCGAATAATTGGACCTGACAAATTCTACTTAGGTCTTTCCGTTCAGAACTGGATAGGTCTTGGGAAGCCTCTTCCCAAGTGCTTCCGAGACCTTTCTACCTCTGGTTATGTCCAATTTCAGCACTTGTTAGGTGTAAGCAGGACTTGCATTCAGACTTTCCAAATCCTTGCCGGTTCCCGTAATTCTGTGGGCCTATATTAAATCTGCGTTCATTGCCCTATTTACTCATGCGTTATTGAAATAAAAAATGAAATTATTGTTTTTTGTTTAATCTCGAAAGTCAACATTTCACGGGAGGGTGGAGGGGAGATGCATGTTTGCGGAGGCTTGATATTTTTACCCAACAAGCGGAGAAGGTTGCAGAATCTATTCCAGCCACTCTTGCCCCTCCACCTGCATGCATTCTCCAAATAAAAAATGAAAGTGTTAACAAATCTGACCCTTGTTCCAAGTAAAAACCGAAAGTCTGACCCTGTGGCCCCCGGTGAAAATTTTTTTTTTCAGTTTTCACTTTTTCCACATACTTTTGAGAGTTCTGAATAGCCCGTCGCTTAAATAGTTGGAATCAACGTTCACCAGGCTAAAAAATTCGATTTTGGCGAAAATCCACTTGCCCCGGAAAACCCGAAAATCTGACCCTTTGGCTGGGGCTAAAAAAAACGGTTTCTCAGTTTTCTCTTTTTCCACATACTTTTGAGAGTTCTGAATAGCCCGTCGCTCAAATAGTTGGAATCAACACTCACCCGGCTAAAAAATTCAATTTTGGCGAAAGTCGACTTTCCCCCTGGCAAAACCGATAATCTAACCCTTTGACTCCGGGTGAAAAACAATTTTTTTTAGTTTTCACTTTTCCCACATACTTTTGAGAGTTCTGAATAGCCCGTCGCTTAAATAGTTGGAATCAACAGTTAAATAGTTGGGCCCGACTAAAAAATTCGATTTTGGCGAAAGTTGACTTTCCCTCTGGCAAAACAGAAAATCTGACTCTTTGGCTCGGGGTGAAAAAAAAAATTTATTTCGACTTTTGTCGCGCCTTCGGGGGTTTCATTGGCATCAGAATTGTTAGAAAATACAGAATCAACTTTCACGTGGCGAAAATCGACTGTCACCCTTGACCCACGTGAAAATGAAAAATTTTTTTTCCCCTTTTCTGTCACCTGCGAGGGTTTCATTGGCATCAGAATTGTTAGAAAATACAGAATCAACTTTCACGTGGCGAAAATCGACTGTCACCCTTGACCCACGTGAAAATGAAAAATTTTTTTCCCCTTTTCTGTCACCTGCGAGGGTTTCATTGGCATCAGGGGGTCAATAAATACAGAATCAACGTTCACTATTTTTTATTTAAACACCGCCTGCAAACAGGGAGATGAGGTCGGCTAAAATATATTCTGCAACCCTGTCTCCTCGTCGGCTATAAATTTCAACCCTCCGCATACATGCCTTCCCCTTCACTCGTTCGTAAAATCACGCGTTCTCGGTAGCATCGAGGAGGACTTCTCAGGACCGAAAAGAACTGAGGATTCGAAAGGTCTCTGGAAAAGTACGTCGCAGAACTGATTAGGACTTACCAGATCCATCTAGGTCTGGAAAGATCTTGAAAGACCTGTGTACGTCCAATCAGAACCAAATCCTCGACTCGAGACGATGCCGAATCTGACAACTGTGATATTTGTGAATTAATTTCGGAAAAAATGAGGAATGCCCGAGCGAGGTTTGAACTCGCGACCTTCAATTTGCCGGTCTGGTACTCTACTTACTGAGCTACCGGCAGTTCCGTCACCTTCCGTCGAATTTGATTCACTTTAACGTCGAATGACCCACTGCCGCCCTTCTAACAGCATTTTGTCAAGTAATATTGATTTATTTCAATATTTTGCAATTGAACTGTGTTACCAGATATTTTGTCATTTCTGATCATCAATTTTCCAAGTTTCATGTGTTCCAGTATTATCTCTCATCATAATAAACAATACTTCGTTTCTCTCAATACAGTTTTGACAAACCATTTTAAAAATTTATTCGGCATTTAGTCTAATTTATTCATTGCTACTGGGAAGTTTTGTTAATGTTATGCATGAAAAATTTACCTTTTTTATGATCTTATGCACACCGATCACGTTCTTTGTTAAGTCAGTTAAAAAGTCATGAGTAATCTCTCGCAATCAATCTTTCAAGTTCCAAGGTATCTTCTCTCATAATCAACGATATATTATTCTTCTAAATAGCCCTCACAAATATTCCTGACAGTTTATTCCTCCCTATATATTTATTCTCTTGACATAAAACCTCCGCCAATCTCCCCTAAACAAGAGGGAAAGTGGGCATTAGTTTTTTTATACATTCCGAGGGACACATGGACACATGGTTTTTCTCCCCCAAAATAGAGCCAATCATCCAAATCACCAGCTCGTAATAAGGAAATTTACATGATACAGACTATTATTGTTAACCATTGAGTGAATTCCATCAACAGTGGGTCACTGAAGTTTATTATTCCTAGATCAATAGAAAAGTGATGAAACGATCTAAGTCTACTTAGCTCCCAGTTGGGTTTCCGAGGAATATTTCGAATCTGTAATAGAGTGTAGAGTTTTTGTGTCAACTGTTTTTGTGACTCATTATTTTCTACTCAACAGACTTTTTGGAGAAACTACACCTATTTACTTTCCATTTTGAAATATCTTTCAACAACTGATAGGGAAGTCAAACTCATAGAATTCATGGAGGAAGCACTGTAGAAATGACTTTTTAAAATAAGTTTTTTTGTTCGTGTCGCCCGAACAGGCTCCGTAGAGACGTGTGGTGGCGTCCGTGCGGCGCGCGAGCAAAAATTGCATCACTCTCATGCGTTAAAGTGACTCAACACACTGTCACGCGATTTGGTTCTAATGTTCATCATTATTCGCAGTACATATAAATTAAGAATAAAATACAGAGGTCTGACGAGTCTGATGGAGAGAATAAATTTGATGGCATGCATATTAAAGCTCCAGAAATGATCGAAGCCTTAATACCAAAGAAATTTGAAACGAGGTATCACGAGGCATAACCTACAATGGATTTTTGAAATGATGCGACGAAAGAAAGATTCACAAATTCACTGAAGATTCCATTCTAGTGTACATAACAGAATGTCAGAAGAAGGATGCACCAACAAAATTGTGGAGCAAAGTGTCGATGTTAAAGAAAATGCTCTTTATTAATCGCAGTATTGACATTGACAAAATGCCCCATATCAAGGCATATTTGAGTAACAATGAGAAAAACTACTTTTCAAAGAAATTCAAACCTTTTACATGGGATAATATTCAACAGTTTCTTCGGACTGCCACTGATTCAAACTATACGTTTTTTATCATTGAATGAAACTTCAAAGCGGTTTATCTTGCAGAAGCACTCGGTGTCGATAAACTTGCGTTACACCAACATTACACGGTAACTACATGAAGATAAGACCAACACTGAAGGGTATCCGCCCACTTTTGACGTCCTCAAGAACCTGAGAAAGGTCTGCGGGGCTTGTATAAGCAAGGGCACAGCGATAACGACAGGGATGACAAGACGTTACCAGATTAGATTGAGTTTCTGGACCACACACGATAAATTGATAGACGATATCACTTTGGGAGCTAATATCTAGGGTGAGGGTTCAAGTAGGCAAGCCAAAGTTATATTGCATCTTCGGACTCGATGCAATACGTCTCTGAAACAATATCGATACTAACGATGATTCTTTATCTCTCTTTATCCCTCTTTGAATTGATGTATCCATCAACTGTATGATGAAAGGCGATTTCGAAAGCAGAGAGAAACATTGATTCTTGTTATTTCCGCGAGGTTCATTTCAATGTACACAGGCAGAATCTGCGGTCATCTGCCCCTTTGTAACAATTTCATTCAACGATGCAAAAGGAAGAATAATTGGAGAAATTGCCGACCATTACATTTTTATGCTCTGTCACCGTGAAGAATATAATTCCTTTTTGCTTCCGAGTGGAAGCTTTGTAGTCGCTCAAATTTAAGTTTCCAATTTTTTGTGTTTGGGTAATTAAATATAGCCGAGAAAGTCCGAATATGCGATTGTTAGATGATGTGTGCATATATGTATAGGGTCCTATAAATTTTCCTATAAGGGATCAATCGAATTTCATAATTTTTTCATGAATATAGACTTCAATAAGCTCTACTCATTGACACCAATTAAATTTCCATTTTTCATACAGATGCGAAAAAATCGCTATTTTCCCGAAAATTGTTTTTTCAACGATCACTTGAAAAATTGTCATCAAAATGGAATTAGTCATGATGAAATATTTAATAAAAATTCTCAATAACCCCCTAATTGATACAATCAACCTGCCTCACAATAATTCTAGAACTTCACATGACAATTCGTAAAAGTCATCTTCACCTCCCTTGCAAACCACTCACTTAACCTCTAATTTGCACAGTGCAATGGCTAGAAAAAAGTTGCTAACGATTGTACGACAGATCATCAACTTTTTTGCTCAAGTGAAATATTCGTGCGAACAGCGTCGATAGGTGATGTGTGCGTGCAACGTGGCTAAAATCTGTAAAGTGACTCAGTTACACCAATTTTCGAGGTACCAAATATTCCCAATATCCCACCCGCGCGACACTAACGAACTTTAACAATTGCGAACATGGTATCAACAAAAAAAAAGCGGGAGTGAACATCGATGCGATTTTTTGCACCTCAGGCTCCCCAATTTCCGTGATACCCTCCGACTCGCTCGGGGCATTTTCAGATACTCCACGATATGTATTCTTCCATTTTCATGGAGCTATCCCTTCATTGGACTGTGGGTCGTAGGTATATCAGTCCCCTCACTTGCAATAATCATTAAGATAAATCCTCTAATGTGAGTAAAGCAAACATTACCTTGCTTCTGTTTCTCGGTGTAAAATCCTCCTTACTCGCCTTTCGCCGTTTGTCCTTGAGGATCATCCGTGCAGCCGCAAACGCCATTGTGAAATGTACAGTAGCACCACTTTTACAATTATAAACCACGAATCTAAGCTACTTGGAAGTTACGTTCCACGAACGTTGCAAACCGCACCACAAAATTTATCTCAAATGTAATTCAACACTGTATCAACGCTATTTTTATAAATTTAGAATCGTTATAATACTGCAACAATCACCAATAGACTATCCAATTGAATTAAATACCTAGACACTGGGTGAATATTTGCTTCACTCCGCACACTCTAACGTACCCCATTCAATAATCAAATACTAATAACCCATGAGCACTATTAATTTACTCTAATACAACAGTCACATTAACCGGGAATATAGGTGTGATGATGAAGCATTATGTATAACATTTGAATGTCTCTCAGTGGTATCGAACCAGCGCTATCATCTGCTATCATTCGATGATCTCCGTTCGCTGTGATCATTTGTCATTCAGTTCTACGCTTACGTCTTCCCTGTCTCCTTTTTCTATCGTTCGTCCTCTTCACTTTATGCGGAAATACTACGTTGCAAGCGATTCTTTGTGACTCCAATGTGTCTTCATGTTTGATGTATTTACCGACTATTGGGGAATGGCCATGAATCTAAAATACAGTCAATGTATTTGCGATAAAATACAAGTAGGGGAATAACTGGGCTGTTATCATTGGCAAATAGTGTTTCCATTGCAATATTTACAGCGCTATCGTAAAAGCACACAGGGTGATTAAAAACGGAATGATGGGAAATCAATCCAACAGTAGTTAAGCTGCAGTGATTAAATGGATATGAAACTATTGTATGATATACGCGGTAAAGGCTACAAAATTCAGTTATACTGTGTAATTACAGTGTTGGGATCTGTTATGCTCGTACAATCGTACCTTAATGACGTTTTGGTTATTGCTCTCGAAGTTTTAATGGCGTGTGTCCAGTGTGTGAACGGGAATGTTCCTCGGATATTATTTACTACATCTCACAGACGTTTGAGTTAAGACATCGTTTTGCGCCAAAAAAAAATTACTTTTGATCGGTAGAAAAAGTACTTGTACGCAGTATCAAGGGGTTTCTGGGGAAAAGGCACATTTTTGTACTTCCTCGAAGCTATAAAACAACTTGATGCAAGTATCATGCGTCAAGTACCTGTGGACTGGTGAGAAGTACCTCAGTACTTGTCACAAGTATTTTGTTACTTAGGCCAAGTAAACAGTTACTTCTACTGAGTACCTGGCTCGTTATTTTCAAAAGTACCAAATAAACTCAATATAAGTTGAGTATAAGAACTCAAGAATGTCAAAAATTAAAAAATCCTAATAATTCTCGTTTTGTGAGTAATAAAATTGAAAAGGAATTGAAAATAATTTTTCGAAGCCTTTTAAATGTTGAGAACAACGTAAAACATGAAAATTTCAACAAAATTGAAATTTGTTAGGTTGGAGAGCAATCAATAATCAATAATTCTCGAAAGCATCCATCAAAATCGCAATCTATTGATTTTTTCGTACAAAATATCTTCTGCTGAACATTTCTATTTTCAAAAATGCGTAAGACAGCCCATTCTATCCGGTAATAATATTCACTTTTCTCAATAAAGTAATCACTTGAAAGTACTGAAATTAAGTCCTAAAAGTACTTGAGAGAAGTTGAAAAATTACTTTTCACTAGTACCTTCGGTACTTGTGAAAAGTACTAAAGTACTGGCAGTAAGTAGTGATACTACTTCCTCCCAGTACCATTTCTACTCGATTGGCAGATGTGGTACTTCACCCAAGGACACAAAATGTACTTGGGACGAGTATTTGTAGAATTTTTCAAAAGTGAGCTTCCCGCAAGTACCGGTTGGTACTGGTGAGAAGTAATTTTTTTTGGGTGAGGCCATTTAGAAAACGTTTATTTTCTTTCATTATAGATCTACCCCACTTTGTTCGGAGTGAGGCTGTAAACGCTCCTAAATGCTAAAGCGTTGCATTTGTATTCCAGGATGATATAAAATTTAAGTGGATGCTTTTCGCCTACCTGCATCACGTGAAAATTACACGCACTATGTAGTTAGGGGAAATGCAGTGAAAATGGGATGTAAAACGGTGTTGGGAGAGAATGGTATAATTTTCAACGGGTATTCTTTCTTTGTTTTCGGGTCTTAGTCTTTTAGCTTGTGAATAGAAACTTGGGGATCGTAAATATTGTCGATCTCCAGAGTTGGGTGGGAATTGCGGAGAATGGCCTGAATGTGAAGATATCACGTCAAATGCTGTGAGAAGGGTGTGGTAAATGCTGGGGAAATGGGTACTCAAGGGAGACGGGTGTTGGCGATTATTCGGCAGTGGTGTGCGTTGAGAATATTTGGCAGGATTTTTTATTGGCTTGATATCGAACTACACTGTTAAATTTTTTGTCTGAATTTTCCGCGCCAAATTCCGGAAATTTTTATTGATTTCATGTTTCACTGACATTTCAGAAAATATTGTCATTGAAAAATCGAATATTTTACTGATTTTCTGTTCAAATGATCTTGAAATGAATAAAATATTTCCTTTTTCAGTTCAACTATTCTGTCAAAAATTCAGAAAAATCAGGAAAATTCAGGGAAAAATGAAAAATTCATGTCATTTTGTTTCTGAATATTCATGTTCCACTAAAAAGTCAATTAAGCTGTAAAATTTCCGTGAATTCTACTTAAAAATTGAAATGTCATTACCATTTCAAAAAAATTTCAACAGTCTATCGGTTCTGATACGAACGCATTTTGCCTGGTCTATAGTGATGTCGCGAGAGACGAGAAGAACGAGAAGAGACACTGTTTCGAGATAGAAATGAGCAGATGAGACAAGATAAGAAAAGTTGGTCGATAGAATGAGAGAAACGAGACGAGAAACGAGACCCTTATATTTTCTGACCCTCATTTTTTAGCCTGATTTTCTTTGACCCTTATTTTTTCTAACTTTGATTTTTATCTCATTTTTCCTAACTGCATTTTTTTCCACGTGAGACGAGACGAGATGGAGACCGTGAGAAAATCTTTTGACTCACGACGGGACGAAAGAAGGAATATCTTTCGTATATCAAGGCGAGACGAGACGAGAGAACTATCTGCAATCGACAAGAGGAAACGAGAAAATGCCATTTCTCGTCTCACGGTATCACTAGTCAGGAAAACTGACAATGAGCGAAATTTTCGCTCGGGCAGTAGAAAATTTTTAGCTGAAATTTAGCTAAATTTTTTTGAACATTTTTTGTTTTTTTCAAGTGACAATTCTATGGAAATACTACGAATTCCATAATTGAAAATTCATAATTTGAAGGATAAGTCAACGGGAACTGTCAATTTTAGTTTAATTATTCCATGAAAATTGGTGAAAATCCCAAAAATTAAGGTATAATATATTCCCTACCCAGGGAAGGAAAATAAAGGAGTTGTGGGCACGTGTAAAATTACCACCCGAGCCGAAGGCGTGGGTAGTAAGCGAGTGGGTAAGGGTCCTTATTTAACCTCCCGTGGTCAGGACATCATTTTCCGTTGCGGCGTAGGCGCAAAGTCAGATTTCACCCGCCGTAGGGGGAAGTATATTCTTGAGTTTTCAACTCATTGACAGTTATGAATAAATTGCTACTGAATACGCATTTATTGTCTTCCTGTTGCTCAATTGAATTTTGAATTCCATTGCATTTCTCCTAAAATTGGAAATATGATTGTTTTTTCCCTTCAACGATACCTATTCAATGACAATTTCCTGAAAATTATTACTGAATTGTTCACGCAATGTCTAGTTTTTCCCCAACAGTGTATCGCTCGGCAATCTTCACTACTAGAGGGGCATGAGTAAGCCGGACGCCTTTGCAAGTAGTATAACCTCTTTGCAAGTAGTATAGACTCAACATTAGCTCGGACAAGCGCCGAAGCAGCTCAACACCCATGTAACCTTTGCTGTCGGTAAACAATCAATGCACGGAGAGAAATATTCAATAAAAATTACGTATCTTTTCCGTATTTCCGTAATTTCTTGTGAAAAATTACAATACCGTCATTTGAATTTTCTGAGTCGATTCCGTAATTGGTGAGCGAATTGTGAGTTCCGTAATTTTGACTGAATATTTCTCGCCGTGTGTGATTGATGAAAAAAGACAATGAGATATAACGCACTCTGTCAACATTCCATTGATCGCCACTAGTTTCTCATTCCCATCGTTTCAATCATGAGGGGTGAATGGACAATGACGGAGAAGAGGAGGGCGGGGATAGAATGACTACAGAGTGCGGCAATGAATGAGCGATTATCCAGTCAAGTAGAAAACAAGTGAGAAAACATGTGACCATTTGTGGCGGTCAACACTCAAAGTAATTGATGTAAGCGTCAAGGGGAGATAACGTATTCTATCAAGATTCCGATTGATCTCGACTGATTCCTCGTGCCATGACATCATTGTGGTCATGATGCACTGAGAGAAAATTTTTTCTACCAAACCATTATCTCTTTTATAAGAGATTTGCAAAACAACTGTACATATATTGAGTTCAAATAAGATAAATTCACCTGTTTTATTTTTTTTCCAAATGTATCCCCACACGGAGAGAAATTTTTGATAAAAATTATCCTACCGTTCTATAAAAGTGTATCATGACTCATCGTTTCCTTATTTCGTTTCCTTGTTTGAATTCGAGTGGAAAAAACTTTGAAATCTATTGACTTTTTCTTATCGAATATCCAATAGAATCAGCGCAAAAAACAAATCGAATTTTTCAATAAATTTCCAATAGAGGGCCTGTAGGAACCCCATAGAACTTCTATAGAATTCCAATAGAATTTTTTAACGAATTCGCTAGATTTTCTATTGAATTTTTTCATCCGTGTACTAATTATTAATATCCAAATTTCTCGATTCAAGTAAGATACTCTTGAGAGAAGTATTTTCCTGCTGTGTGGAATGAATGGGAAATACGAAGCAGAGAAGAGCGACAATGAATGGGCAATTAGGTACTCAAACGCAAGACGAGTGAAAAAAATCGAACAGATCGCAGCAATAATCGAAAAAATCGATTATTGCTGGGTCATTTGCCCGAGGAAAGACGGAAGTTTCGGCAGCCGTAGATCTTGCTGCGTTGCACATTCGAAAGGTGGACGTGTATTTTCAAGAGTTGTCGATATCTGTGTAGAATAATGTAGTTTTGGGTCAGTAGAGCACTGAGAGATTTACGATGAATTGAGAGATTTGAGAAAAATGAATGTTGCCGCTTTTTTTTTAATGAATGCAGAGTGGGCCAATTGCAAGTTCGTTATTTGCACGTCGCAATTGCCCTCTTTTACTCCTGTGAAACATGATTTGATGGAGTGGCATCTGAAATATTCATAAATAGTCGGTGATATCGGTGGTAACCACGCGTGCATACATTTCGCAATTTACAGTAGTTGACCGATTGATAAGAACCACGCAACCTCAGGGAAAACATGCAAAGTGGCAAAATTGTTACAACCAATCCACTTTGAGTGACGGGTGGAGTGATAATGCAAAATGTAGGAGGAAGTTGGCTCCTATTTTTTCTATTCGCTCAAAAATACAAATGCTTTAAATCTCTACTGAATATGGAGACCGGGAGAAATTTACCTAG